ACACTCATTTCACAGAACAGCACTAAAATGAACACAACATTTTTCTGGGGCATTGGGTTAAACTAACAACAATGTTATAATTTCTAACATTTACTTACCCAAACAAAATATATTAAACATATCATGTTGCAATCCGAGGCATGCTTTTAGTACCCTCTTCACAATCTACAAAATAAGATAATGCAATCATGTTTTCAATGATTTATACCCAGTTAGTACTATTTACTGCTTTCATCTTTCAAACCACTGTTAATGGATAAAGAAGGTTAGTAAAGTATTTATGCATCATCAAACTAAAAAGCCAACAAAAATGGAAGTACATAAAATAAGAGAGAATTTTTGTTGGTATGTCAAATTTTATGTAGCTTTGATAATTTCTGAGAAATAAAGGCAGCAAAATATCACAAACAAAATCATGCATGGCACATACCCTTTATTTTCTTTTAAGATACATTTAGAAATTTTAGAGAATGGTCCATCAGGACGGAGTTTCTTATTGTTGGTAAACAAAGTCTTGAAAATCATCAAAGATACAGGATATAAGACATCAGTTTTGTTAATGGGATATTAAAAAATTGCCATACATTATCATTTTGATCATCTAAATTCCAACATATAGTTCCTAATACATTTTGATATTCTTTCAAGAAATAAAAATCAGATCAGTCTAAGTGTCTGACCCCCAATCCCTGTATGCGATATCCTGTATCAACATATGCTAGTTCTAACTACCCTGTTTTGGTCTTTGATAGCATGAGGTATCCTGCCTCTTCCTATCTTAGTATAGGATAATATGCATGCTAGCTAACAAATGCTTTGATAAACTAAAGGAAGCATAATAATATTCACAATGTTGAAATCTGCACACCTGCAATGATTACCTCACGTACTCAATAGTCTTAAAGCACCAAAATCCCTAACAATCTTTTATTCATTCATCAGGCTTGATATTTTCTCAACTGACGAAAATTATACGAATGAGAAGGAAATATGTAATAGCACTGGGTATTTTCTCCAGTTGTATAGGTAACTCTTTTCCTTTTTGACATTGATTTTATATTGAATGCTAACAATGATTTCACACACACATACACAGTATGCATTTTGAATAATTTTTGTATGCAGTCAATATGTTTATGCTGCATTCTTTTATTTCTGACATTTTATTTTACTTTAATCAGTGTTCTGATATTTGATACCCAGCGACTTATCATAGTATGTGATACCCCTTTAAACTATCACAGTATTGGCTACCTTGTTTTCATCTTTCCTTGTCTAAGATACCCTAACTCGACCTATCCAAATATATCATACCCAGAGAAATCTGCCTTCAAAGTTGGTTAATTTTCCATAATTTATCATCACTTATCAGATACTCTTATAAACCATGCATTTACCCTTCCAATGTCTTTTGTATACATTAAATATAACAATCAATTTCTGGGTACATAAATAACATGCAATAGGTTCACAGTTAGGGACAAATGAAAGTTCAACATCCCATTCAGCACAGGCTCCCGGATGTGTCCTCTGTACCTTGTAATGTTGTCATGTGGTTGCTACAAATAACTACTGACATAACCATTACCATTAAAATAACACTTGATCATTATCAGAATAAGAATCTCACCTACATAAATCAAGATATATATAATATCTGCATAAAACAGAAATATCAAAAAAATTCAGAATACCTATTCAGTTTTGATATCTCAAGATGCACACAATATAGGCATACATATTGTAAAAATACTGTAAGGATTTTCACCAAGCATCTGATGCACTGTTGAAAGTAAATACTTATATAAATTAGTTTGATGCTGAAAAAAAATTACCAAATCATTTCCAATAAACAAATGTTGGTGCCTAACACTGATGTGTGTAAAATGGTTTCCAGCATAGCTTACATCTTTCACTTGCTGACCACAATCTCTTTTCCTCAGTCCATTCTCAAAATCACATCTATGAAAGCATTTATTAAAATTACCAAATGTATAAAAAAATAATATATGTTAACCCTATCATGACAAGGCCAGAATTTTATGTAATGTAATAATTATGTTCTCATGTGGATATTCATTAATATACATATCATTGTATTAATCATTACTCTATTTGCCATTTTCATATTACTATAATAATCAGTCATTATCATTATCACTAGTATTATTATCCTTAACATTACTACAATCATGATCATCTTTATCATAATCATCACTGTCATCATGGTTCTTATAATTATTGTAACTACAGCATTGTGTGAATTATTCTTAATATTACCTTAACACTGATTATGAAAATAATACTAAAGCTGTTAATACAGTAATCTGTAAATTAACAATACAAAAAATATCAGTTTTTTGTTTTTACATATAGACACACTACTCAGTGAAGCTGGGTAATGTGTCTGTATGATGGATGAAGAATATTAAGAGATACTGAAAGAACTGGTGAACAGGCATATATGTTTTCAGGTACTGATGCTGGTGAGAATGATATG